GGATTTACTGTAATCTTTAATTATAAAACATAATTACTTTAGAATGGATTATCAATGTTGGTGTCTGTTTCTGGGGGTTGCTTGGTAACGTCTTTCATGTGCCGAAGCACCGACTGTTCTGCAAGTTACAGGCTTTTAAACCCAGAAGGTAAAAGCTTGTGGATATTAAGTCTGCCTAAATGGAACCTTTCAATCAAGTGGAGTTAACATGCAGCTTTTTTTGTTTGTTTGTTATTACTTTGCTATTACATAAAACCATTTCTAAGGACAATCGCCCAAAGAAGTAGCCTGAGAACTTCCTCAACTTTAGTATAAAGGTTTTCAAATAAATTCTAGCCTTTTTATAACATTTTCCCTTAATGTTTTATATCTCCATGTGATAATATTAAAAGCAGCAACAGTTAATAAACATGTTACTGTTTCATTACCCTTCCTGCAGTCAATCCTGAATTATACAAGTGTATGCAAGTCTGATTAGAAAAAAATACCATCCATTATTCCAAGTATAAACAGCTTATCCTGATGTGTTCAGGCAGATTTTTTTCATCTCTTTGCAAGACTGACAGTTGGTTCCATTTCTCTCTGCATTTCATCATGTGGCAAATTATTTTTCTACATCTGGGGAAAATATGTGGCATTGCAGGCTAAAAATCCAAACCAGAACAGGGCTGTTTTGGGGTAGTAAGGAGGTTGGAGAAGGGAAAGAACAGGTTCTAGTTTTGACACTGATAAAACAACTCATCTTCCTCTAACTGCAGAGAAAGGAAGAGAAACCTGTCTGATAATTTGAGGTGGGAAAAACCAAGTAAGAAATACAACAGGGAAAGAAATATTTAAAATTACACCCACCACCACCCTTTATTTATTTTTTAAAAACCGAAATTGGTAATTTCTTAGCTAGCTTAATAGTTAAAAATTTGAGGGGGAGTTGAAGAAGGGGGTTAAAGAGTCACAGAAGTGGTTATCTTGTGAAGATAATGGCTTTGTGTAATGTTCCTTGGATGTTCTTGGAAGGGGCTGATTGGTTGGTATATTTAGATTTCATCTTTTAAGCATTTACTAATTATCCCAGCCTAGATGGATAAAACTAATCAAATAGCTGTTTGGGAATGCTCTGCATTTTTAAATCTTCCCTGGTAACAAATGGAAGGCAAGTGATAGTGTGGGGGATTTCTTTCTTCTTTTTTTTTCCCCTCTCATTCTTCTGCTTTTTCCATGTACATAAACCCAGGGATTTTCAGTGGTTTAGTTACTACATATGTTAAAGAACATCAGATTTGCACATTTATTCAGAGTGAAAACTCTTCCTTGGTCAAGTTGTTATCCTGAGCCCTGCTTCTTCATTGTCTGGATCACAGGACTCATTTTTTGTTCTGAATTCTTGACTGCCTCTCCACTGGAGTCTGATTTTTCCATGACCTCTGGTTCCCCAAAAATCAGTGGAGTGGTGGTGATACTGACAATCCGAACTGTAAAACCCATGGGCTGAAATTATAAATCCCAGCTGTGGTCCAGCCTGGGTGGAATTATAAAAGCAGTGGTGCCCTCCTGTATTGTGGCATGTAGGGTATGTGGAGAAGGGAGTGAGATCAACTTAGATGCTTTTGTTTACTGAGTCTGGGGTGGTGATTGTTGCTGTGTGATTTGGCATATTTGATCTTAGGAAATGTAAGGACTCTTGCTGGGGCACATTGAGAAAATGGAAATGAGAGAATGGGCAAAGCTGTGGTAGGGTTGTGGGTGCATTTGTGGATGTAGAAGTTTGAGGTATCAGTGAAAACATTCAATGCTTTGTATGATTGTTTGCTGCAGCATTTGAAGGGACACAAGCACTTGGTGTTTGGCCCACTGCTTTAAACAAGAGTAATTATAAAGCTGACTTCTGAAGAGGAATATTTCCATACATTAACTAAAAAAACTGCGTTGAAAGCAATTGTACCCCAGCCTTCCCTGCAATGCTTTGTGCAGACTGAACACTGCAGTGTTGTGAACCTGCAGAGCTGTAGACAAAGCCCCTGAACCAGCAAATAGCTCAGGGCAGGACTTGGCACTCAGGGCCTGGCCCATGGCTGCAGCCTGTAGGAAATACTCATGGGCTTGGGAGCAAGATCTCTTTTTTGGGGGTTTGGAAGGAGAAAAATACAAGAAAAGGTAATAGCCCAAATGATGAGAGTGAGGGTTAGGATTTTCAGAATTCAGCATAGTTACTTATAGCTGATTTCGATGTATAATTGTCCATCTGGGTAGCTGAAGCTCTCAAAAGTAAAAAGTGATTTACAGATTATAGAAAAGGAAGAGCAATCTGACACACTTGATTATAAATGTGGAAGTCTCTGCTATAAATCAGCTGAAAGCCAGGGTGATTAGAATTTCAGGGCCAAATAGATAATTGTCTATTAGATGGCAGATGGCACACTGGTAAGAACAAAATCTAAAATTATGGATCTATTTCCATAATTTTTGTGGTTCTGGTGCTATATTTCAAATCTGAAATGGCATGATGACGTACTGAGATCTCTCATGACTAGCGTGACATAAAATATTCACTTCTAACCTTTGTGTCTCATCAGAAAAAGGATTTAAACACCTCGCTATGCAAATAGTCATGTTGTACTTCTCAGTTACATCCTCTTCCTTTACAGCTGAGCCTTTGGAACCTCTGTCAGAGAAAGCTCCTGAAAGCTCCAGCTCAGTCCTCTGTACAGTATATAAATGTGCAGTCCCCACTTTTAGAAACTTGATGAATCTCTTGAGTGGTTTGGAACTTGTGCTGCTAAATTTGGCTTGGAAAGGCAGCTGCAGAAAGCCAGGATGAGCAGAAGGGAGCAAATGCTTTTGGCTTTTAAACTTTGCCAGTTGCTGCTTTTGGATCCACGGCTAGTGAGAGGAAAGCTTGATCTTGGAAAATGCAAGGGTACCACATTATGCATCTTGCCTCCGAAAGATACAGAATTTAAAAGCAGTGAGCAAAATTTTGTTCACATAAAGGAAAACTGACAATGAGGCAGCACATCCAATCTCATCCATCTTCTCCTTGCCTGATTATCAGCTCAGGACAGATCAGAGAAGGAGAGTTGAAGACACTCGTGCCAGCACAGCCTGAGAAATCATTTTGTAGTGGAACTTCTTGCAACACTGTGACAAATGCAGCCCTTCTCTCTTGTGCCATCACTTGTTACTGGGGAGACTGACCCCCCTTCCCCCGGCTCCACCCTCCTCTCAGGCAGTTGCAGAGCCAGGTCTCCCCTCAGCCTCCTTTTCTCCAGGCTGGACACCCCCAGCTCCCTCAGCTGCTCCTGCTTGTGCTCCAGACCCTTTGAAGGGAAACCCAGAGTAGTTTTCTGGCCTGTGATGGAGATGTCAGCAAACTGGATCCCAGGGAGCCACCTGCACCAGTGGGGCTGAGATACCAAGGTTTCTTGCATGCTTGGAAGAAGGAACTTCAGACCTTTGGAAATGGAGGAGTTAAAAAAGTTGAGGGAAGGAAATAACTTTAAATTTCATACTCAGCTTTAAAAGAGGGTGAATCAGAATTACAATGTTAGGAGTTTTATGCAAGAAAATAATTTCCACATCCTCTCCATGTCCAGGCTATCTGTGGGCCAGAAGGGTGGGTCCTCCTTCCTCAGCTCTGACTGAGAAGAAAAATGAACCAAATAGATTGACTAGCTGTTTCCTTTCTGCTGCACAAGCCCTGTTGCTCCCGGTGGGAAAGCTGTCTCTTTATGGAAACACCATCTTTCCTGCAGTCAGTTTTAGGATCAAGCTCTGAGACATAAAAGCATTTGCTTGGTGCAGTCAGAGAGAGCCCAGAGTTCCTCAGAGATTGCCTTATGTTCATGAAGAACAAGAACTACCCACTTAGAAGAATACTGCCACCATAAAAAGCAAACCCAGAGATCTGGCAAAAATACAACTAATACCCTGAGTCATATGATTGAGGCATGTTTGAGTGAATTTTGTGGAGGGTTTATTTTCTTCCCTCCCCCCAGTCATTATTTAGTGTCCTCAGAGCAGAGCACTCTAGTGACTAATCCATCCCACACTGAGTTTTGAAAACCCAAGTTGACTTTGTTTGTCCAACATTCCTTCTTCTGGTAGTGTTGGAGTCTGAATGTTATCAATCAGTTCAGCAAATGTTTATCCTTCTCCATATGACCAGCTCTGGGAAACTTTACTTTGGAAATTGGATGTTTAAGAAAGTGGGGGGAGGGAGGGAGTGTGTGTGGGGAAATCTGGTGATGTGGCTTTTTGTGTGCGTGTTGCTAATTAGGGAGGATAGAGCCAGAGGTTTGCAGTGTTGGGTTTGTGAAACACACAGCTGGAGGGAAGGGCAAAAGTAAGAAATGAAACGACAGCAGGAATTTCACACCAAAGTAACCTGCATATTCTGATCCTGAAATAGAGCAGCAAATGCTGTTGCAGACACTAGGCAGGGGCACTCTGTGGAGGAATGATTTGTTTTAATCTGTCATTTCCTTTCAAATGTCTTGTTTGAGTGAAGACTCTTATCTTTGTTGAGCGTCGGGTGGACAATGTTGTCAATTCTCTGAAGCCACCTTCTTCCCCTTTGTTATCTGACTTTTTTCCAGGGATGGAATCAAAGAATGTACAGGTCACTGCAATGCTGGGAATCAAACTGCTTGAAGCCAGGCTGTATGGATTATAAAAGGGAGCTTTATTTAAGGCACTCCTTAGAAGCTGACAAGTCCTAGTCTTTCCAAGCTTCAAAGAGGATACTTGTAGGTTTAATATTTCCTACCAGCTGGAGCCAAAGGGGCAGGGGGACAGAAAAAGCTGTGCTGGTGTATGTGTGTGTTGGAGCTCACACAAACCCACTGCCTTGCAGTCCTCAGTTAATGTGCTGAGGCTGGGCAGGACAGTTTAAATGTCCCAAAAGGAGTTATTTGAGTTGGAAGGGGTTTCTCAAGAAATCACCCAGCCCATCTGCAGGACTCTTTTAAGAAAGCACTTTTCAGTTTTGATAGGAAGATATAAAAATGTCATGGATCTCCCCTTTCTCCTTTGTGACGGTATCCTGTTAATAAACAGAAAGCAAACTTCTGTGCAGCCCTTAAAGACCCATTTCTTCCTCTGCTCACCACAGTTCTATGTGCCTTGTGTACCTCAGTGCTGCTGCTTTGCCCAAGTTGCCTGTGTAACTGCTGCAAGGTGGCCAGTGGTGGGTGCTTCTGCAGTTTGATCAAGTTTCATTATTGCTGTCATAAAGAAGTGAGAAAACTCAGAAGGTAACATCCCTGTCCTTAGGAACAGATCATCTTTCACCTTACATTTTTAGCCCATTTAAGTTACCATTCTGAAATACTGATGCTCTGTGAAAAAGGTCAGAAGTTCAGAGGTGGAGGCACCTTTCTAAAATTTCCCACTTGGTTTGCACAGCCCAGGGGAAAAGTTGACTCTCAGTGTGGTGGGTACTGTGATACATCTGAAATGTGCCAGTCCCAAGTTCTACATCCAGAGTGGTCAGTTGGAGACTTTAGAGACTGGAAACAGTTCAGTGCAAGTTGAAATTATAATTAATGGATCATGGGTTGCTGGGTTTAGCTGTGGATAGAAAACTCCCATTAGTTTCCAGAGCTGAAGTTCGGAAAACTTTAGGTTCTGTGAAGCACTTGAATTCATATTTTTTTTTCTTTTTGCAGATGATGAAATTTGCCTGGGATAACTACAAACAATATGCACTTGGAAAAAACGAGCTGCGCCCGCTGAGCAAGAACGGCCACATTGGGAACATGTTTGGTGAGTTCTGAGTCAATTTCAGTGCAGTTTCATTGCTGTTTTTTTAAGGTCACAGGTCGGTGCCAGTTCCTCTCTCTGCAATGCAGTGAGGTATCTGTAACAGCTTTGATCTCTTTCCTTTTCTCATTTTTCTGAAGTGACACTTCTCAGCACAGCTCCTAGGGGTTACTTTCCCATTTCCCACTGCTAGGAGTCTCATCCCCCCAGGCCTCTCTCACTGCCCAGCCTGTATCACCTTTGTGTGCAACCCTAGCACCAAATGTGTCTGAGAACAGTGTGAAAACCAACCAGTGTCTTTACTAAAACATGAAGTCAGTCCAGACCTGACAATGCTACTATTTGTCTAAACTTGTGGACATCAGGAGCTGACCAAACTGAGCATTTTCTCTCTCATTTTTCCACTGTTGAGCAAGATGTGAATGCCATGAAATATTGAGTGAGTGAATCAATATTAAAGGCTCTTTATACTGTGTGCTTACTGACTTGTGTAATTTTACTCTTTAGCAGATTGCCTTTTTTTTTTTTAATGTGAGCCACTTACATAAATCCAGTGCTATTTCCGTGCTCATTCTGGTGGGATACTTGTTGAATTTCTGGGATCTAAATTGCCTTTTTCCTCATTTGCCTTCAAGGCATTCCCTTTCTCTGCTCTCTGTGCCCTAGCTTGGCCTTGCCTGGACAGGTCGTGCCATGGTGAGGGGCTGCAGAAGGTGAAGGAAAGGCAGCAGAATCTGCTTTAGCAGGACTTTCCCACCCCTCCTCGGGGAAGACTCACTGTGCAGAGGTCTCAGCTTCTTTCCACACAACTGTGCTTTGCAGAGATTATCTCCCCGAATCCCTCACCCAGAATAGAGTTCTTTAGTGGGCAAATTATCTGTGAGCTTTATTTCCTTAGGGTAAAGGGATTGGACCAATACAGTGTGAAGGAACATTCCTACTACTGATTTTGCACTCTTTAGGTATCCCCACCCCAAGAATACCCAGGTTTCTTACTTGAGAATTTTCATTAACTTCAGCCCAAAAGTGACACATTGTGCAACTTTTCCATTCTGGCAAGCTTGTCAGAATTCCTCAAGGAGCCTGCCTGTAAACAGAAAAAAATATTGAAAGCTTTTAAATGCTTTTATCATGCTAAAACAATTGGCAGTGCTTCTGCTTGTTTGTAGCTTGCCTGTGAGCACTCTCAAGGAAAATGCTTTGGAGCACAAGGATTTGCAGACAATTGCAGAAAAGAAGCTACATGGAACATTTCAGCCTCCTAATAGGCTTTTCCTACTTTTAACTGTGGCTGGGAAAGAACAGAAGCATTAGGCTGCTGCAGCCCTTGATGCCTCTTGTTTTCAGAGGCTTTAGAAATTAGGCCAGGGCACTGCCTGCCTTCCTCATTGTTGTCCATGCCCCTTCCTGTCACATCATGCATCTCTTTATTCCAAATGACAGATTTAATGGAGGCAAATCAGGAACTCTCCAGGCTGGAGGTGTCAATCTGAAGATGAGATTTCTCTGCAGCTGTTTCCATGTGGGAGGGATGGAGCCTCTTTGGGGCTATTTTCAAGCATGTTTGTGTGCGTGAGAAGCAATCAAGTTCTGGAAGGGTGATACATTTTCCTGTTGTGGATGTGGTGCTCACTTGCAGCCTTCAGTTTAGCAGCCTCATCCTGGGGGAAGCAGGGGAGCTCTTGCTTATCTAATATTCTCTCTAATCCAAGTAGAAATACAAAATAAACCCTCTACTCCTACCTAGCATCCTGCTTCTCTGAACAGCTGACATCCCTCCCCGACATCTGCCCCCATGGCAAGAAAATCACAGGCAGAAAAACTCCACCATAGTTCATCTCGTTTCTCCTCAGCCTTGGAAGTTGGGAGCTCACATCTGGGAGAGCACCTGGGCAGTTTCCATACCTCCATACCCAGGGACCAGGCTTGCCCACCACCCAAGGAAGGGCTGGGCTGCTACACTGGAAGGCAGCCTTCCCGTTTGCTTGGACTTTGATCTGGTGACTTGGTTTTCCATTCATGCTTGTGATTGATGCTCTCCAGACCCTGTTCCTAGGGCATCAGTTTCATCAAGGTTCTACCATGTTCCGGATGTAGCTTATTTGCAGAGAAGTCTTTTGAATTGCTGTCATTTGTAATCATTGCAACTTGAAAGTGCTTTCCTTAAACACACTAGCAGCAGTCCTTTCATAATTATTATTTATTCATCTGTGATGCTTGTGATAAGATGTGCCATGTTAAACATCCCATCCCGTGCCCTCCAGTGGGGATAACATGTTCCAGACTTGCAGCCATTTCAGAGCTGTGAAGATTTCCCCAGAAGTTGTGCCATGGGAATGGGCAAAGCACACTGCTAGGGCAGAAGGATGATCTCTGTTAGACTGAAACTTGATCCACAAGGTACCCATGTGTGTGACTGTACAACTGCAGGGAGTTAGTGTGAGGGTGGTGAGAGCCTGGCCCATGTTGCCCAGGGAAGCTGTGGCTGCCCCATCCCTGGCAGTGTTGAAGGGCAGGTTGGATGGGGCTTGGAGCAACCTGGGCTGGTGGGAGGTGTCCCTGCCCATGCAGGGGGTGGGACTGGATGATCTTTAAGGTCCCTTCCAACCCAAACCATTACATGATTCTATGATTTTCAGAATTATCTGGAAAATTCCTCTCTGCACTTCAGCTAACTCAAGGATTACCTGCAGAGTATCTGGCCACTTTCAGAATAGGGCCAGAAACATGTTGTTTTAGAACTATTGAAGAAAAATGGCACAGCTGAGCTTGTGACTAAGGGTGAAGGCCAGAGATCTGCAGGTGTGTGTTCTGTTCCCAGTGCTGATCTCATTATTTTAACCCTTTTTTCCTCAGCATCTCAGAAAAATTTGAGGTTGTGAGCATTAGAGTAATTGATGTTTGCAAAGCATGTTGAATTCCTTGGAGTGAGGCTGCTGGAGAGGGCAGCTGTATTATGGAGCACAGCACTTGAAATGCACCTGTCACTGTGATCTCCAGCAGTAGATAGTTGAATTATTATTCAGCTTGCTCCCTAGGTCTGTCATAGCTACTTATTTTTCTGACAAAATGTTTTTTAAATCCTGTTAGCTTTACAGAGTTTCTCTAGCTATGGCAGAGTGAGCTGGCATCTATTGCTGCTCATGCATCAGCTGAATTGTCAGTTACATTTTGATTGCACAGTCTTTTAACAACGATAAGGTAAGAAGCCTGATTTTCAGATACCTCTTGAAGTGTGCAGTGCTGGCAGCAGCAGAATCCTTTTTGACTTATAACCTGAGCCAATTTGCTCTGAGTATCAGTGACAGCAAGTAAATATGGAACCTTGCTGTGCTGCTAGACAGTCATTTTTCATCACCTAACTGCACATTAGTTTGTTAATTTTAGTCTAAAAATAGCAATACTTAACTAGGTTTCCCCCCTTTTTTCTTCTCTCTTGCAATCACACCTCAAATTATTAATTCCCTTGTCACAGTCATTGCTCCTCTCAGCATATGCTGAGTTTGTGCATCATGTTGAGGCTCTGTAGCTTTATCTGATGTGAATCCATGTGACAACTGTCACATCTAGGACACAGCCAGGTCACCAGAACTGGATGGCAAAGATCTAACAGCAGCTGGATCCAAAAGACGTGAAGTGTTTAGACTTGATCTTCATGCAGGGTCCTCCACATTGCTCCACGTTTCCCTGCCTGGTGACAGAGCACACAGGGATAACCCTGTGATAACCCTGCACAGGCTGGATAACAGTTCTTGGAAACTGGGTGGCTGCTTGGGTTGTGTTTATGTACAGATTGTGACCTGAACTGTTCCCACAGTTTGTTTTGGAGACAGGAGGTCACTGGTCACAGTTGCCTGGAAATAATACTGGTTTGGCTCTCCAGAATTAAAAGGGATTGAAGTGACTGGGAAAGGAAAGTAGTGACCACATGAATACACACAGAGGGCCTCTCGAAAGTACCAAGGTGATGGAGATGCAGAAACCTGCAAGTTTTTTCTCTGTGGCAAATCCTGCAGACTGTCCCACTGCACAGTGACACTGTGACCTGTCCAGGCTCTGGTCTGGGTGGACATTCAAGTAACATGTCTCCACTGGATTTACTCTGCCAGGCTCCTTTCACAGAAACTTCTAACAGCAGCTGGAAGGCTCTTTGACAGCCCCCTCAGGTGCTGGGCCCAACTGGACACAAAAGGCTCTCAGAGTTAGTCCCTTCAGCCATCCCATCCTGCCTGTTGAGCCAGACATTTTCCAAGTAGCTTCCTTCATCAGGGATTTAGCTGGGAAGCCATGAAGCAGGCAGGAAATGTGTCCACTTCAATTAGAAGCAACAGGAGTTGATGTATGAATATTTAACATGGGAAAGGTAATTGGATGAAAATACTAATTCAGCAACGTTTGTAAGTACCAGAAGAGAAATGGTAACCTCCAATTGTGCAATCACTTGGTGCAGCTTTTCTGTTCTGCCTGTGAATCTCTTTCC